ACTGAGGATTGAGGGCAGTGGGCGAATAAATCCGACCTCGCCACTCAGTCCCCTAAGCCGCACATCCTCCCCCCCTTGTAGTGGTAGTGAGGACTGAGAGTAGTGGGCGAAAACTCGCCCCCGCCACTCAGTCTGAGTGGACCGGAGAGACTGAGTTTTGTGCCCAAAACTGGGCTTATGTACCAGAAGAATGTGGGCGTAGCCAAGGTAGGAGGTGTATAGATGGCCTCAAGGGATTGTAAAATGCGCCTACCTTGATACTCTACACATCACATATGCGTGACCTGAAAAGCCATAAAAATCCTTTTACTTCTTTTAACTTACGCTGGCACCACATTCAAACCACCGCTATCCGCCATGGGGTAACCCTATCTGTCTTCCGGAAAAAAAATTTTTTGCAGCTCGTGTGGGAGACGGGCCGAGTCGAGCCGAGCCGTGTTTTAGTAGCTGTTGTTTGTTAATACGCTTGCGTTGTGTAGCTTGCGGAACGAGCGAATGGGTGGTGAGTATGTGCACGTGGAAGAGCTGTGCTGCGGCCCTGGAGGATGCTCGTCAAACTTCGAGGTACAGTACGAAGGCTGCGGATGCGTCGCGTCTTGCACTGCGCATGCCGGTTGTTCGTGTCTCCTCTACAACCAGGTCGTCGGTTCTTCCATTTACGTCCTCCCTCTCTTTTGTGCATTGCTGTATTCTCTAACTTTGTGAGTTGCAAATCCATGGAACATTTTTCAGGATATTTTTAGCAACCGAAACTCGGTGAGAGAGACGGCTCTGGAACTGCCGATTCTGGAATGCTCGGCGAACTGTGCATGCGCGGCGGATAAGTGTGAGAACCGATGCGTGCAACTGGGTGTATCGCTTCCACTGCAGGTCTGCTTACACATCAATGTACAACTGACAGCTCGGCAAGGCCGCTCTCATTTTTGACGTATCTGCAGGTTTTCGATGCCGGAGACAAAGGATTTGGTTTACGCTGCACCAGTGAAATTCCCAAAGGTCGCTTCGTGATCGAGTATGTGGGCGAAGTTGTCGGTGCGGATGAGGTGGAGCGGCGACGCTCAAGCACAAATTATGTGCTCACGGTCAAGGAGATTTTCCGAGGTTGCTGTTTTTTGAGGTTGCCATTATTGTTCATAGGCTTCGCAACCAGGAGCGATGACGGACTAGGCGGAGTTGAGACATGGAAGAGCAGCGAAGCAGGCTGAGATGCGAATTTGTCGCTGTCCGAAGAGCCCGAGCGCGATAGACCACTGTTAACCGCACTGGAAGATGGTAGTGCAGTAAACGTTATGTAGCTGTGTGGAAAATGCAAAATGTGCGTTGTACGGGGCGATTATTACTGGAAACGAATAAATTAAAAACTGGGCCACAATGCTTGCAAACCCAACGATCTGGTCTGCAGTGGCAAGCCGACAGCTATAGTGCGACAGGCTGCTAGAAAACAGACGACGACGTCATGAGACGGGCTGGGCCCGTCGGTTTGAATCTTCAGCCGTAGGCATGTATTGAGGGATGAACTCATGAACCTTCCCCTTTAGAAAATATGTAAAACACCAAGGAGTGTGTGTGTAAAACTTGGCTTCAGGGTACAAAACAAGCCAAGCGCAGTTTGAGGACCTCCTTTTTAGAAAGCCGGAGAAGAATAAAACCCGAATGAGGTACTTCTGGTAAACACATCTGACGAAATTTGAATGAAGTCTTAGAGAACTACAGCAATCAATGAAAATTAGCGCAATCTGATGCAGTGCAAAAGAAACTGCTGCTGTACTATCCCACAATGTAAAATCATTGATTACGCGCACCAAGCGCGCCGGTGCGATCATGCGTTTTCGCACTATTTCGTGCTGCAGCAAGATCGCAAGGAATCCCAGTAGCTAAAACGTGTAAAATACTGGCCCTCGAAGTTCAGGAAGTTAATTGTACACCTGTGTGTTGTGTTAGTTGTAGATGTCGGCTGCAGTGACCCGACAAACGGAAAGTTGGTCGTGCGCGAAAGAGACCTCACAGGACCTCACATTCCCTAAAGTTTCAACTTTCTAACTTTTCTTGTTACTGAGCTAGCAATTTCCCCGCCAAAACTTTTGCGTGCTCGCATGTGAAACATAACCTACACGATGGTTGGTGTCACGTTCCTGGGGTCGCACTTGGCCAGAGAACGTACTGGTGAACTTTGCGTGGTCCGAGTAGAAGCACCAGGGCAGACGAACACACACAAATAGGGTCGTCGCAATATAAATTTTTGGTTCCTTTTTCAGCGTCTGCATGGCAGAAACGCATAAAAAGCTCGAAACGTACAGGTCGTTTGGTTGTTATTTTACACTTTAACATATGCACACGTATTGGCAGTGTTTTTTGTCATTTGCTGCATATGGTGGGAGAGGAACGTCGGCTAACAGCTGGGACGGCAGTGCTACATTGTGGGGCCGCATAATCTCTTAATCTCCAGTACGCACGATTATCGCAAAAAGATGCTGACGATTTTGCACTCTCAAGTTTGCCGTATACGCGCACCTAACGTAAGTGTTGGTGAGAGATATTATGGTTTTAGTGTCGAACAAGATATGCAAGCATTCTTGTTGTCGATGAGAATAAGCATGCTGACGTACAGATACGAATGACTTATAAGTCGATATCTTCTAGAAGAAACAGTGGACACTGTTAACATTTGAGAATATGACATTCGCTTTCAGTTAACCTCTAGTTTTCAGTTTAAAATGTTTTTAGGTCGCAGCGAAGTGACGTATATCGATCCATCGGTCCGTGGCAACCAGTCACGATTCATTAATCACGGCTGTAGTCCGAATTTGGTTATAGTACTTGTTAGATTTGGTACACCGCAGGTACATGTTGGTCTTTTCGCCCTTCGCGACATACCTGCTTATGAAGAGCTTACATATGATTATGGTATCAGTACTCTTTCCTCCGATTTTCGTTTCAAAAAATGTTTGTGTGATAGCGCGAACTGTCATAAATTTCTTCCTGCTTCAGGAACTGCCACAGGTTAAAATCCATCCTCCTAATTACGATCATTTTTCTGTTGGTTTTAAAAAAAAACATTTGTTCTTAAAAAATCAAAATCATTTATTTTTTGTGGAGAGAGAAGACACTCTGATGTATTCCGACTGATAACTCCTGTCACCGGCAATCACCCGGTGGCAAAGCGGTGACGGCTTCTTCCATGATGCAAGTTGATAGCGAATTTGAGCCCTTAGCAGTTTACCATAGAGGAGTTTTTTTTTTTTTTCTCCATTGGCAGAGTCGAATCCTTGATTTTTAACACGAGTGCAGCGCTATTTATGATTGCGCGAATAGAATTTTTTTATTCGATTACGATTTTTTTTGAAACAGTGCGATTTATTTGTGTCTTTTTCAGCTTAGTAATCTGCCATTTAAAAGAGTACGACATTGATGACGATTTTAATTATGTAATTTGTGTAGGTCTTGCGTAGATTCGGAAAAAAAGCATCATGACGAGATTTTGTTTTTGTGTTTATGGTTCTCTAACCGGATAACCCAACTTCAGAACGACAAGAGCCAGGAAGTCTAAATTTTAATTGTGTCGCCATTGGCTTCAATAATGAGCCAAAAAATGTCAAACTACTAAGTCCTGTCTTTTCTTGATGTGCAGAAACAGATAGTTTTATTGTTATCCATGTCACCATCTCAGCTAAATTCAATATTTATGTTTTATTCTGCTGTACGGCTTGATCTGTAGCGCTGTTGCATTTAGTTGTCTTATAAGACTACAAAACGTATGGTGTTGTGCTTTCTCCAGCTCAACAGTCATCCCCCTGCTTTTCAGGAAATGCGAAGTAAGCTTGAAATGGTTTGTTTCCAAAGCGTATCTTGGTGAAATCAAAGTAATTGGTTGAGAATCAGGGCGTATGTCAAAATAAACATTTTGCACCTTCACTGCAAAAGTTTTACTGTATAAAATTTCTTGCTTCTAATTTGGCCCACAGCGTGGGTTAAATGCCCTCCGAAATCGCTGCATACAGTCTGAGAAATATTTCCGGAGCGAAACAGTCTTTATTTCTGAAGTTTTTTGCTTTTAATATTAGTCAGTTAGAATGTATTCAAGTTTTGGTCGCACGTACGGTTGTCTGTTATTGGTGTCTTTATGTGCGTAATGAAAGCATCGAGTTTTTATGCGCTTTTTACATCTTTCCAATGCAAAGACGCATGTTGTCGCGAGGTCATCTTTGCCTATATGTGTGTCTGTATGCGCGTCTGCACCGATTTTTCATCTTTAGATGCAGAAAAGTAGCAAGGCTAAAATTTTGGCAGCATAATCTACACGCATTTACGAACCCCCAGAATAGTCGTTCATGCCCACGTGGTTTCTCACATACGAGCCCGTGAAAATTTTTGGCAAGTGAGTTGCTGATTCGGAAGCCAAAGAAGTTAGAAGGGCTGAGGTTTTGAGGGAGAGGGATCATCCATGTAGAATTTAAAGATTTTAAATCCAGCTCCCAGATGCGTGTGGTCCTCACGTACAGGTCCGTGAAAATTTTTAGCGAGCAAATTGATAACTCGGCAATTAGAAGAACTAGATTGCTGGAATCTTAAGGGTATAGTTTCTGATATTCTTGGTGGCCAATCTCAATTTTTTTTTAGTTAAAAGCTTCTGCCGAAAATAACAGTGCCGTTAGCGGGAAAAACCTGCGGCGAACTGTGCAAAAAGCACATCTTCGCACCGGCAGTTGGTGCACTGGCCAGTTATTACTAAATTGTGTTTAGGTAGTATTCGATCGGCATCACAAAAACAGCGGAGGACAGGTTATCTTAATCTTCATTTACTATCTGCCGGTGAAGTGATTAATTTTATAAGCGTTTTTATGCGTTTTTTGCAGCTATGCAATGCAGAAAACGCATGTTGACGAGAGGTTGTCTGTGTGTATATCTGTGTGTTCGTCTGTACCGATTTTTCATCTCGAGACCGGCAAAAGCTATGGGGCTGAAACTTTGGAGACATCTACATGCACGTACGGGCCCCCATCCTCGAAATGGGCGGTCTTACCCGCGTGGTAAGAACCCGCCGAAATTTTTCTCGGGTAAGTTGATAACTCGCGAATCAGAAAAACTAGATGGCTGAAATCTTAAGGGAATGTTCCCGATCCAATTAGGTGTTAATGAGCTGAAATCCAGCCCGCGGGTAAGCGTGATACCCGCGTACGAGCCCGTCAAAATTTTTTCGGGTAAGTTGATAACTCTCGAACCAGAAAAGCTAGAAGGCTGAAATTTTAAGGGGATGTTCCCCATTCAAGTAGGTATTAATGAGCTGAAGCCCAGCCCGCGGGTAGGTGTGGTGCCCGCGTACGGGCCCGCCAAAATTTTTTTCAGGTAAATTCATAACTCGGAGATTTGAGAAGCTAGAAAGCTGAAATCGTAAGGTGATGTTTCCCGTTCAAGTGGGTATTAGTGAGCTCAGACCCAGCCCCCAGGTAAGTGTGATACCCGCATGTGGGTCCGCCAAAATTTTTCCCGGATAAGTTCATAACTCGGGGATCTGAGATGCTAGAAAGTTGAAATTTTAAGGGGATGTTCCCCGTCCAAGTAGGTATTAATGAGCTCAAACCCAGCTTCCGGGTAAGTGTGGTGCCTGCGTGCGGGCCCGCCAAAATTTTTCTCGGGTAAAATTATAACTCGGGGGGTCTGAGATGCTAGAAAGCTGAAATCTTAGGGTGATGTTCCCCGTCCAGGCGGGTATTAGTGAGCTCAAACCCAGCCCCCCGAATAAGAGTGGTACCCGCATACGGGACCGCCAAAATTTTTTTCGGGTAAGTTTATAACTCGAGTACCTGAGAAGCTGAAGGACTATAATTTTAAGAGGATATATCCCGTCCACCTAAGTTTCATTCAGCTCAAACTTAACTCTCGGTATGCGCGGCAAACACGCTCGGGCCGGTAAAAATTTTTTTCCAGTAAGTTGCTATCTCAGGAGCCAGGGAAGCTAGAGAGCAGAAATTTTAAGGTGGTGTTTCCTGACAGTTCTGGCGGCCAATCTTAATTTGTTTGGCTAGAAGCATTTGCCGAAAAAGCCGGTGCCGGTAGCAACAAAAACTGCGGGGAACCATGCAAAAACGCATCTTCGCACGGGCAGCCCGTGCGTTGGCCAATTATTCAAGAATGACAAACTTAATTTGATTTGGTTTAGTCACTGAGTAACAACTGCATTAAAAGACGGATTTAAATATGCCTTATTTTTTAATTTCCACTTGTTTTGACACTTTTCGGAATAAATGTTTTCTTGTTTATATAACCTTTTTGTTGCCACTTTTATTTGCATCATTGATAGGGACATTTTGTATGCATTTCCTAACAGGTGAATTACGTAAATGAAAGCACGTAATGGCTGGATCATGTCTTTTCTTTGAGTAACCACATAATTTAACTCCAAGACTACATTAACTAATAAGTTGAAATTTCATGTGATCCGGACCACGCATTAGACAGCAGACTTTAAACTAGCCTTGATCTCCCTTGCGCCCTGGTTTATGACCTCAGATTCAAATTTAGGCAAATTTTGTAACTCGAGAATGGCGAAATTTACATGTTAGCAGTTTTGAGATTTTCGGGAAAATCTGAACTTTACATCATCATCCGTAAACTTTACATCGTCAGATTCAAATTCGAGCTATTCTTATAAGCAGGAAATAGTGCAGCTGCAAATAGGTATTTTTGAGAGAATAATTCACAGGATAAATTTAGAAGCACAGTTCGAGAGCAGGTTCAGATTTCACTGTGTTTTTACATACAATCTCAAAAATACGCTTTGTGAATTCAGTCATTGGCGACGTGCACTAGGCGGGTCGGTGCGGTCATTCATTTTTGCAGTATTTCGTGCTGTAAGATCGCTTGGAATTCCAGTAGCTAGAATTTGTGATATGCTGGTCCTCGAAGTTCAGGGAGTTAGTTATGCAACTACGTGGTGCTTCGACTGAGAACATTCTGTTTAAATTTCCGTTTTCCAATTTTTCTGATTTGCAGTTAGCGATTTCCCTGCCGAAAATTTCCACGGAGCCATGTGTGAGAGCCACGCAGTGAATTTGAAATCTTTAAGTTGTACATGGGACCCCCTGAAAATTTCAGTCTCCCATCTCTCCTGATTCATGAGTTAACGATTTTTCTTCGAACTTTTACGGGGTCATATGTGGGAACCACGTATACCGGGAGCTGAGTTTGGAAAGTTTAAGTTTCACTTGGACAGGAAATATTCGCCTAAAATTGCAGTCTCCCAGCTTCCCTGCTTTCCGAGCTAGCGAATTTCTCGCCGAAACTTTCAAATGCTCGTGTGCGGGGCTCAGACGTGCGTGAAGTTTGATATCGCACTCCTGAGGTGACACTTGACCGGGGAAACCACTGGCAAAGTTTTAACGCTGGCGCTTGCTTGATTGTCGAGTTAAAATACATACACACATAGATGCACACACACGCACACACACACGCACACACACGCACACACAC